GCAGCCTGCCTCTAGCGAATCAGTCCATCCATTTCCCCCTTCTAATCAAATGGCAGTCTAAGTGATGCAACTCCTCTTCCAGCCCCTCCATTAAGCTCTCGCTCTGGCTTGGTTCTGTGATTTACGCCCTATTTTCCGTAGAGACACACAACAACGCGTTTGGAATGACTGAGTTGCCAGCATATGTGACAACCACATCTCCTACAGAGGTGGCAATCAGTGACCTTGATCTGCTATTGGACCTTCAGTCACCCCTCCCTCAATCTCCTTGATTCTGTTCACGTTCATAACAGAGGAGCTGACACCGTTCGACTTCCTGAGCTCACAAACAACTGAGTTTAAGAGGCGCTTTGACAGAGATCGCAATTCTCTGGATTGCGTCGACACATGGAAGGAAGCAAGATATGGAGTGCTTTCTCCCACACCGTCTCAGGCCCCAAAATACTAGGCGCATGAGTCCGTTCACCTTCGGAGGCATTGATTAAGTGGTGCATAAAGCAGAAATCAAGTGTTGGCGGCTTTGCGCTGTGGGGAGTGAGTGTTTTTGTGAGTGTGCTGCTGGTGGGTTGTTGTGTGTCTTGTGCATTCCCTGCCGAGGGTTACAATTACTTTGAGGAGATTTCAGCCCTTCCTCCCTCGAGGCAGTGCATGGTGCCATGGCACACGCACTTGCGGTGAGATGACATGAGTTAGGTGCCGGACTCCCTTCTCCCCTCCTCGTAGTTTTCCACGCGGTCGTCCTCCTCCAGGTAGTCATAAGGGCATCTGCCGAACAGGATGGATGGCTGTGGGAATGAAGGGAATCGTAGGGCAATGGAAGAGAGGAGTCCATTGGGAAAGGAGGTTTGCACTGAGCGACTAGCGGCGACAGGCAAGAAAGGCAATTTGGCCAGACAGACCATCTTGTCAGATTGAGAATAACACACTGTGTAAATGCTTCCATTCCTGCTACTTTGCATCCAAAAGTGATGATCCACATCTCAACGTTTGCAGCATCCAATCCGCAGGCCTCTGCTATAGTAGATGCTACCTAGACTGCTTCGCACCTCTAGCCATGGATGTCGTACATTTTTGCAGAAGTTGACTTTCACTTAAGGCGGATGTTGCCGGCACTTATGATGCCTTTTTCAGCACCCTTAACTTGGTCCCATCTGCTGCCGACAACTTCTCTACCCTCGCCACATTTCCACAGTTTGCCCATGGCATCGCTCTCCCAACTCCCCTCACGCTCCTCGTCTCTCTCTCCACAATAACCTGCTCGAGCGCACTTTGGACAGTCAAATTAGCACCTCTGGTGATGTTGACGTCTGCTGTGTTTGCTGCTCGCTACTGTACTGCCTTTTGATTTTGAGTCTCATCTCATTACCTGAACTGAACAGCAATCAGTCGAGCACATCCCGCAGTCCCAATTTCCTGACTGTGGAGGTAGTCAAGTGC